TTTTAAAATTTTGTTGCAACCAACCCCGGTCTCCCCTAAAGCTAAATTCATCAAACACAAAATGCTATTTTCATTAAAATTAAAAACATGAACTAATGTGAGTTTTGTCCTGTAGTTTTGTCAAGTAAATATAATATTTAATAACTAAAAACTATTTCCATTCTTCTCCAGTGTTCCAGGGTACGTAAGATGTTGTTTCTTTAAGCAAATAAATTAAGTATAATACAGGGTGTCTGCCAATATTTAAAGATGGATTACCCTGACTTTTCCCTAATTCTCAAATAAATCAACTCGTTTCTCCGCGCAGCGGCCTTGTTCGTCAAGGTTCGTGTTTCGGAGTTATAGAGTTGAGAGAGGGTTATAGCCACAAATAAGTAGCCTCCTCGTCTGTAGTGGCCTTCTCGGCCTTGAGGAGGTGAATCAAAATAAAAAATAATTAAAAAAAAAATTCTCAACCTGTTTTTTGCTGACTTAGTTTAAAGCAACAAAAGCTCAACTTTAGAGAAAATCAACTTAAATTCGTTCAGAAAAATGCTTTAAAGCAAATATATATATAAATAGAATTACAAGCAACATTCAAATTATCAATAGAAGGCCATAAAAAAAATCTTCTGAATAAATTTTTACATTACGTGTATGATACAAAACTGACATAGGTCATGTACATTTGCCACATGTACAAAAGCCAATTTCCCTGATTATTTCAAAATACAACCCAATTTCCCTGACTATTCCCTGGTCTTTTGCAGAAATCTAAATTCCCTGATTTCCTTGATCAGGCTGACACCCTGTAATAACTTCTACATAATCTTTATACATATTCTGAAAATGAAATATTGCACTATTTTTTTAAAATATGGAAACTAATTATTTTAAACTGATTGCACAGTTGTTATGGTTTTTCGCAAATATTGGGGTATGTACTTTTCCTTAAACAACTAAAATTCAATATAATAAATAAATCTTAACCATAATCAGGGCCGGCGCGAGTAGGAGTCACGTGGGGAGGGGGTGCCATTACAACTTTTGCCGACAAAAAAAAAAAAAAAAAAAAGAAAAGGTCCTCGTTTTCCAAAATTTGCCAACTGCCTTGACGACATTTGCCGACTGTCTAGATTACCGACTAACCTGTATCAAAAGGGTCAACATTTGCCGACTAACTAGTCTAAAGGGTCCAATTTGCCGACTAAGGGTCCAATTTGCTGACTAAAAACCATTGATGGGGGAAGGGGGTGTCACACACCCTGCACCCCCTATCGCGCCGGCCTTGACCATAGTCTGTATAATATTATTATTAGGAATTTATATATTACATATTTTTCTAGAATATTACAATTTACCATAATAAGTTAATTTTGCACAAATAACATAATTGAATTTTTGTTTTCACAACCATTAACAAGTTTTTGTTTTGTGCTCATCATGTTTGTCATATTCTGAAAACATATCAAATATAACTGAAAATTGCATTATATTAGACAAGCTCTATATTGTATTAGGAAATATTTGAACATTTTTAAAAAATTTACAGCTTTCTTACTTTCAAATCATCAAAAATTGGTTAGATTTGTGCAAAACATAAAGTAGTCCTTTTTATCTTACTTGACATTCCATAATAAGGGGTTTAAATAGAACTGTTGGTGTTGTTTAATGCACCCCTATAAATTATTAGTGGCTTGTTGTACCTGCTTTGTCATTATTTGCTTCTACATATATATTGAACTAAATACATGATTTTATTATATGAATTTAAAATTATAGGCTGATGTTTTTAATATATACATATATATATTCTCTCTTTGCTTTCTGAAGGAATACAATTATACATGTAAATATATATATATACATATATATATATATATATATATATATATATATATATATATATATATATATATATATATATATATATATATATATATATATATATATATATATATATATATATATATAATAGGATTTAATGTATCTATATAAGGTTAAAATTATAATGTTAGCTATGCAAAATACATGCATAAGGTGCACTTATACACCATTAATAGTTTGGTCTATAATGTGGTGCAAGCGTATTGACTATAGCCAATGATTCTATGCCATTGGCCAATGCTTAGGCAATTAGCTCCTGATCATTACCAATGACATATGCTAGATGGCAGAGTCTCTGCTGATATACATATACGTATATGTATATGTATATATGTATACATATATATATATATATATATATATATATATATATATATATATATATATATATATATATATATATATATATATATATATATATATATATATATATATTATATATATATATATATATAGAGAGAGAGAGAGAGAGAGAGAGAGAGAGAGAGATATGTATATATAGAGAGATATATGTATATAATATAATATAATATAATATATATATATATATATATATATATATATATATATATATATATAATATGTATATATATATATATATATATATATATATATATATATATATATATATATATATATATATATATATATATATATATATATATATTTAGTCAATTTAAAAAAATGTATTATACAAAATAGAGTGCTCAATGTTCTTAAAAGAACAGAGCAATTATAAATTAGTAGAAAATCACTTAACAAATTTTTATTTTTCATTTTACACTGTGTTTCATCAACAAAGACTCATCAGAAATGCTCATCGGCCCTGTATATACATATATATACATATATATATATATATATATATATATATATATATATATATATATATATATATATATATATATATATATATATATATATATATACATAATATATCATATATATATATATATATGAATATATATATTATATATATGATATATTATGTATATATATATATATATATATATATATATATATATATATATATATATATATATATATATATATATATACATAATATATCATATATATATATATATATGAATATATATATTATATATATGATATATTATGTATATATATATATATATATATATATATATATATATATACATAATATATATATATATAAAAAAAAATCAACTTGTAAAAAAAGTTCTATATATCAATATTTTTCAGATTTATCTTAAAAAAAAAAAAAAAGGTCCTCTAGAAAAAATATGTGCCCCCTGGCCCCTAATAATGGCCCCAACTAAAAACTAATGTTGATAAAACATTTATTTAAAGTCGGAAAATGGTTATATTTTCTACGTTGATTTAACGTTTTATTTTATACGTTGGTCCAACGTTGTATTTTACGTTGATTCAGCGTTGAACTTTAATTGGCAAAACGTTGTATTTAATATTATTCGGAGATATATTTTTTGAAAAGGTAGATATAATCTTAGAGTAGATATATTATTTGTCTTTGCAAATATCTAAAAAATATCAAAAGTAAAAAAAACTCTTTCAATTCATCTCGGACAACACCTAAAAAATTGGTGTTAAAAATAAACAACCAACGACCGAAAGAAATTATATGAAAATTTAATTTGAATTTAACTTAAAAAGATTTTAGCAAGATCTTAATAAGATTTGCAGTTTGTTTCTCGCATTTATTTTTTATTATAATCTTAACAAGATCTTTGAACTCGATATCTTCAAATCAAATGAAACAAAAATCCATAAACATATGCTTTAGATTAAGTGGCAAAAAAATTGAACCTGTTAACTCAATTAAATATCTTGGTAAAAAAATTGAATCAAATTTTTATTTTTAATCCCTCTGTAAAGACTTAGCAATGAAACTAAGTAGATCTAATGGCATGTTGGCCAAAATTCGCCATTATGTTAATCTTGAGACACTCTTGAACAAATATACCATGCTTTTTTTGGCTCACATCTTAGATATGCATGCCAAGTATGCATCCCATCAACAAGCTCTTATTAGGTTATCCCACCTCCAAAACAAGGCTTTAAAAATTATTTATTTTCAAAATATTAAATTTAATCCTAATGTGCTCTACCTAACTTCTAAAGTATTAAAACTATCTGACTATATTCAACTTTTAAACTGTCAATTTACAGTTGTCAAAAACCACTAACATAATAACCTACCTTTAACTTTCATCAATTTCTTTCCAAAAGTGCCAACACTTTTTATCCGATAGTAACTTAAACTGTCTTTAAACATCGCTGTCATAATTACGGGCATAATCTATAAAATATTAAAGAATTAAAACTTGGAACAACCTTCCTTATGAGCTAAAGGCTCATTCTCAACCTTTAAAACCACCTTAATTCATTCTCAACCTTTAAAACCAGTTTATACTTTTTTTTTAATATAGTTAATGTTTATAATTTCCATAATCAGTTTTTGTTGTCTTTAGTATCGCTTTTTTTTTTTTTTAATTTCTATTTTATATTTTTTTATTGCTTATTGTTATTTTTATTAATATTTACTATTAATAACTACTTTTAACTATTATTAATAATATTAATATTGTTACTATTATTATTACTATTATTATTATTGCTATTATTATTATTATTATTATTATTATTATTATTATTATTATTATTATTATTATTATTATTATTAACATCGTTATTTTTATGTTATAAAGTTTATTATTGATGTTATTATTATTGTGAAAATTAACATTATATTTATTTTAATTAGATATTGTCACCATTAACAGGTGTTTACTTTATATTAGTAAATTTACTATTTGGAAACATCCTTGAATGTAAAATTTTAATTCAGAAATAAATGATTGATTATCAATTTTTTTGGTCATACATGGACTTCATATGAAACTATTTTTAGCTATTGTTTAAAGCATTGTAAAAATGCTAGAAAAAGAGGTTAAAGAAGCCATCACCGCTTGATAGCCTAATTTATCTGATTTTGGTTGTTTCTTTGAACAAATACATAACAAATAGGTTATAAATGTTAGAAAAAGTTGTTGTATGTATAGATGAGTTTCAAATGTTTACATTCTCGATTTCAAAAAAAGATGCGCGCGCACACTTGTAGGTAGAAAAACAAATAATCGAAATTTTTCCTGTAAAAACATTTAGATATTTGTATGTTATATTTACTCACTGATTCTTATTTACCCACTGATTCACTGATTTAACGAGAAATAAATTATTATAACTAGTTTTTGTGCAGTTGGTTACTCAAAAAAATTTAAAAATGAATGTGGATTGAAGTTTTATAAATTTCCATCAGGAAAATCGCCTTTTGAGAAAAGAAGACGTATAGACTGGATTAAAGCTATTAATCATAAGTATTGGGTCAGTTAGGAAAGTGTAAAAATTAGTAAAGAACGAGTATGCAGTGCGCATTTTGTATCAGGTACGTTCTTTGATGAATGTTGTTAGCTAATAAAACTATATACGTAGTAATACGTTGAACAAGTTTCTTTAAATTAGTAATTTATAATATTTGGTACATACATTAGTTTAATTAAATAATGTCAATTGTAAAATAAACTTATTATATTTCAGGAAAATGTTCTGATGACACATCTGACATTGACTGTAGCCTATCTGTATTTAATCACCTTGGAGCTGCTCTGATTTCTAGTTTGATTAAAAAAAGGAAGAGAAAAGATTACTATAAAGATTTATGTAAAAAACGATTTTTCAAAAAATCAATACTGCCATCTAGCCAATCGAATGATATAGAGCTCAATAACTATAACGATAATATAAATATTGACATAAATCCACCAAATGACGAGTCAGCTATTTCTAAATTTTTTCAGCATGATACTTATAAAGCAGAAGTAGAAACTCTTAACTTTCAGTTAATTCAATACAAAAATGAATTGAATAAGAAATTTAATAAAATTATTGAACTTAAAAAAAAATTCCCAGACTAGACCATAATGAATATATTTCATACTAGACTAAAAAGGAGTAGCCATCTTATATGTTTTAAAAAAAAGTTCAAAGACTGTGTCTGTATTATTAATTGTACCAAAGTATTTATTGAAAGACCAAAAAATTTAATTTCACTATCACAAACTTGGTCAAATTATAAACATAACAATACCATTAAATATCTTATCCGTATTACACCACCTGGGGCAGTTAGTTTTCATACAGACAGATAACGTTTAAATCAAACTTTATTCAGAAGCTTAATCCTGGCAACTTTGTTTTTGCTGAAAGAGGATTCAAGATTAAAGACAAACTAAATGCTGTTGGGGCAACGTTGAAAATTCCAGCATTTACGAAAGGTAAACAACAATTATCTGGATGGGAAGTGGAAACATCTAAACAGATATCTCATTTTCACATACATGTGGAATGAGAGGTTGGTCAAATAAAAAAGTTTTGCATTATTCATATGACTGTGCCAATCACTCAAGTGGATTTATTAGATGATATTATGATTATTTTTTACGCTCTTGTAAATCTCAATATGAGTGTAGTTACTTGATTAATGTAAATATAAAAACAAACTTACAGAGAAGCAATTCTTACAGTTTTAAAATTTAATTACATATTAAAGGAGACTAATTTTTGTTATTGCTTATTGCTTGGTTTCACATTCTTTGCAAAACCATTTAGTACTTTTTGGAGCTCTTTTTAGTCCAACACAAGTGTAATGAAACCATCCCTATTTGCAGTTAGCAAAATTGCATGGTATCATTTTTCCAAAACAAAGTCTTTGGCATACACAGTAAACTTTCCTACTATTTATTGTCAATTTATCAATCATTTTGAGAATAAGATCTTTTTTAATTGTTAAAATGAAACTTTGTTCACCTTTTAACTGCAGGGAGAATACAAGAAAATCAGCCTCAGTTTACTAATTGTTAACTATTTGAAAAATTAAGTGTTATTGTTGACTTCCAAAAACAAAATATATTTAAAAAGAGTAGAAAAGTTGCAAGAACAACTTTTAAATTTAAAATGAGTTTAAAATTTGTAAAAGAACAACTGTTTAAAAAATTTTTTAAATAAGTTTTTCATAACAATAAAAATTTTTATTACCAAAATTTATTTAAAAAATTTGTAATTAATTATAATTATTATTCTTTTTCAAAAGAAATTTTGATTTTAGGGTATAAAAGAAATACAAGAAGCATATTAAAGTTCTTGCGCACATATTTTTGCTACCTACAAGTATGTGAGCGCATGTTGTTTACAAAAAGATGTGACGACGCACAGAAACTCATCTATATACAACAACTTTTTGTAACATTTATTATTTGCTTACAAGTAGTATCTTTAGATTGCTTATGGTAGTATCTTTAGATAGCTTATGGTAGTATCTTTAGATTGTTTATAGTAGTATCTTTAGATTGCTTATGGTAGTATTTTTAGATTGCTTATGGTAGTATCTTTAGATTGCTTATGGTAGTAGCTTTAGATTGCTTATGGTAGTATCTTTAGATTGCTTATAGTAGTATCTTTAGATTGCTTATGGTAGTAGCTTTAGATTGCTTATGGCAGTATCTTTAGATTGCTTATGGTAGTATCTTTAGATTGCTTATGGTAGTATCTTTAGATTGTTTATGGTAGTATCTTTAGATTGCTTATGGTAGTATCTTTAGATTGCTTATAGTAGTATCTTCAGATTGCTTATGGTAGTATCTTTAGATTGTTCATGGTAGTATCTTTAGATTGCTTATTGTAGTATCTTTAGATTGCTTATGGTAGTATCTTTAGATTGTTTATAGTAGTCTCTTTAGATTGTTTATGGTAGTATCTTTAGATTGCTCATTGTAGTATCTTTAGATTGTTTATGTTAGTATCTTTAGATTGCTTATGGTAGTATCTTTAGATTGTTTATGGTAGTCTCTTTAGATTGCTAATGGTAGTATCTTGCTTACTTGTAGTTTTACTTGTTACAAGAAGTTTGAGATTATTTTTATTATATAAAATAACTATTTTATTACATAATATTAATTATATGATATATTTATATATCAATAAATTTAAAAAAGTGCCTTGTAACATGCATGTAATCTTGGCTTACTCATTAGTATTTATCTGCAAAATTTTTGAATTTATCTGTAAATGGATTTTTTGAATTTAATATCAATAATATTCGAACGAACTCAAAATTTGTAAAATTTTAACAAATTTTTTTTCATTTATTATTTTTTTAATTCAAAATTTTTAAGTAAACCATTAGCAACATTATAACAAAAAATTGTTAAACTTTTATTGTTGAAATTCTTTGTGTACTAATTTTAACCTGTTTCCAATTCTAAATTTACTTTTATAGTTAAAATTCTACTAATACTAATTTTACTTTTGTTTTGAATTCTAACTCATTTTTTTGCATTGCTATTTTTTCACTTCAACTAAATGTTGCTACATAATTATACTTTTATAGATGTCTACCTAGTCAGTGTACCTGCCAGTGTAGTTCTGAAAAGTTTCAACATGCAATACTCATTTCAAGCAATACATACACTTTTTTACATAAATTACTTGATCTTAAACTAGTAAAGGTACTTTCAGTTACTATTTGTTGAAACCACCATTAGAACATTAATGTTTCTTTACTATTAGAACATTTTCTTTCAAAAAGTTTAAGTTTTCAACGTTTCTTTCAAAAAATAGTTTAACAACCTTCTTTAAAAACTTAATTTTGTTGCACATTTTGGTATATAAACAAAATCATTTAAATATATATATATATAAATATATGTTTATAACCATAACTTTAAGGTATTGAAGTTAAATAATATAAAAATGTCAGAAAACTATAGTATATAAAAAGATGATACATAACAGTAGATAAAACAGCATATACAACTTAAATAAATAATACAATTTAAAATCTATAAAACAGCAATAAAAATAAGAAAGTTGTTTTATATTAATACAAGCTTTTTATATTGACGAAAACAGCTTTGCAGTTTTATCTTATCTCGTCTTATTATCTTATGGTATTTTCATACAGCTTTTTACATATGATTAGCAATATAATATAAAATGATTAGCAATATAATATAAAATGAAACGTGTATAAACGTTCATCAGTATAAAAGCGCCATTAGTTAAGACGATAAAATATAAAATATTTATATAATCAAAAAACAACGTATTTTTGCATAAATTTGTATCTTAAAAAGAAAATGATTATTCCTTAAACGTTAAGAGATAATTGTTAACATTTGAAGAAACAACTTTATGTAAAATTGTTTTTAAAAAACCCCTATAATGAGTTAGGAAGCAAAAGCCACTGGAGGTCTAATTATGTAGCCTTAAAAATTTATTCTGGCGGCGGCCACCAACAGCTTCCGCCTTTTCAATATAATGATATATCTACGGCCATTAAAACATTCTGTCTCTAAAGTTAAATTACGGCAGCGGCCGCTAATGGAGTGATGATAACAACTAGTTGAGGCAGAAGTCTGAAGGTTCTGCCGACAAAAAGTTGACAGATTTTAACTTTACTGCGTGAAGCATTTTCAACTCACGCATAAAATTTGAATTGTGTTGATAAACATATGTTTAGTTGATAAAAATTTTTTTTGTATACTCATTGCTCTCTATATATATATTTATATATATATATTTATATATATATATATATTTATATATATATATATATATATATATTAATATATATATATTTGGAGAATGAAATTTTATAAGTTTATTTTAATGATAATTTTACTTTTACACTAATTAGGCATAAGTTTTAAAAATGCCGAAATATTGTGCTTCATTAGTTACGTGCTGAAAATGTGTATATTTAAAAAATGTGCATTTTTTTAAAAACACATTTTACTGATTTTTAAATAAGATGTCTTTTGATTTAGAAATAAAAAACTTATCCGAAGATAAAATTAGGAACGACGAATCATGTGATACAGAGCAAAATTTATTGAATAACTTCAAACCGCAAAATTTATCGCCAAGTATTACGCAGTCTTTTTCCACAACTAGCACAACGTTGCTAAGTTTATCGGCAAATAAGTCGCCAAGTTTATTGACAAACACTGCACCACTAAATCCATCGGAAAATGCTACAACAAAAAATTCACTTACAAGTATTAGCCTTCAGTTAAAAGCAATGAAGTCAAGACTTAATTTAAATCTCGAAAGTCGTGAACTAGTCGCAAGAACCTTCATACCTCCAACAGCAATAACTGAAGATGTAACAACGCCAAAAGATACCATCTTGGAAAAAGATTTTGATAGATCTCCTAAAAATCCATTTGAGTGTTTTTACAAACATCATAGAGACAAACTTATACAGAACGAACTTAAACTAACTTTTTTAAACTCACAAGATGGAATCCATGTAGTACCTTCATACACATCTCTGCAAGTATGGTTTGGTGTAATTTTTGTGAAAGAAGGACCATACGACGAAGGAATATTTCACTTCAGTATTATTTTTCAAGATAGTTATCCAGAAACAAGACCACTGCTGCAATTTAAAAGTAAAGTATTTCACCCACAAATTGATAAAACTAACGGAATATTAAACTTAAAGCATATCTACAAACAACGTAACTATAGTAACTATATTCCTATTTGGGAATTACTCCGCTATACAAGATCTTTATTCTATCATATAGACACTAATGATTGTTACAATAAAGAAGCTGGATATCTATTTACATCTGCCTTTGATAAATTCAAGGCTAGATGTAGAGGCTCTGTGCTAGATTCTCTATTAGCATTTGATGAACAAATCTACAATCAAAGTGTAGAATCAGAAAATCCTTTTCTTTGCTCTATACTAGATAACACATCACTACAAGGAGTTAAAAAAATTATGTTATCTATGAATTTTGAAGCATTAAAAGAATCTACTGTTATGGAATGGGCAAAGGTTTATTTAGGAAAACTTCTTAACAACATTAACTCTGCATACTAATTTAAGTTTTTCTCAAATTTAATTTATCAAATAAAAAATGTCTGCTGTAAAATATATATAAAAACAAATGAGAAGTGAATTTTCCAAAGTTGCTAAGTAATGTGAAACTAGTTTTAAAAAAATCGATCAAATCTTATTATTTTTTAGTACTTTTGAAACATTTTCATTATATTATATTACAAAGGGAATAACTCTTTTTTTTTTTTTTTTTTTACCAAAAAACAACTTATCACCTTTTGAAAAACCTCAAATGTTAACATCATGTCAACTATTCCAAACAGATGGTCGTAAATTTTACTAACAGGTAATGGTAACATATCAACATACGAATGGGCTCGTTATTAGCAGGTTTCCTGTTAATAAAAGAAAAAAATGACTTTTAGAAACATTTGCAATTTTTAAATGCGTAAATATGCAAAAGCAGAATATGAAAACAAACTAAGGGATTAGATCAATTGTGAATAGTTAATTGAGTATGACAAATATAAGTTGGGACCACCCAAAGGGCAAAATCCCTTAATTGCTGTTTAGTAACGAAATAATGATAATAAAATCTGTTGCATTGAGATTACGGAAAGTTGATAAGGTCCAGTGAAAATCGAGTTGATGCCGAAAAGGTTAAACAGAAGAGTTGTGTATTTGGTTTGTGAGCAGTTAGTAGGTCACTTGCCAGTTTGTGGTTGATTACGTTCAGTATGCAGAATTTTGAAAAGGAGAATCGTTAGTTTGACAAAGGGTTGGGACAATGAAGTTTGCAATAAAAATATAAAGTATTTACTTTAAGAAGTTTATGATGAGGTGGGAAAGTGCAATCCAGATTATGGTGATTGAGCTGTACATGGTAACGAGGATGATGAGTGGAGTAGCGCTAGTTCTTTGGAGAATGGTGCTCTTATTCGAATTGGTAAAACTACTGTAGAGGATGAAACATGGCTACGAAAAGAAATGTCTAATGATCATATAAACATGGCGGAGCTGGATGCTGTAATGCGAGGAACGAATATGGCTTTTAAGTGGAAACTAAAGAAAGTAACTATTCTCACAGATTCCGTAACAGCGTTTCATTGGGTCTCTGACGCTCTGATTATCAAGATTAAAATCAAAAGGGCGAAATTTTGATTTGAAGAAGACTAAGCGTTCTGAAACAATTTATCGAAGAATATGGTCTTAATGTTAATGTAAAACTTGTTCCTTCAAAAGATAATTTAGCTGTCACATTGACAAGAGTTCGAAGCAGATGCTTAAATAAATTGACAGATGCTGAACATTTGATTAATTCCGTTGGAGTAGTGATTAGAGAGGCTGAATCTATTTCTAGCATACACAAGAGAACCGGACACTTTAGAGTGAATCGAGCGTTAAACGTTGTTCGTAAAATAATTCCAACTTTTTTTTTTTTTATTTTAATTCACCTCCTCAAGGCCGAGAAGGCCACTACAGACGAGGAGGCTACTTATTTGTGGCTATAACCCTCTCTCAACTCTATAACTCCGAAACACGAACCTTGACGAACAAGGCCGCTGCGCGGAGAAACGAGTTGAGCGCGGTACTACCAGGGACGTGGTGGGGATTGAACTCGGAACCACTCGTTTATGAAGCGAGCGCTCTACCACTATACCACTACCGCATTAATTGCAACCGAAAATGACATTCAAGCTCTGATTTAAAATTTTCAATATATTTTTAGATGTTTTAGATATGAAACTTTTCAGGCATTAAAAACTCTAAAATTTGTTCATGCTTATGTCTTATAGCAATATTTTTAAAAAAATGTCGTATTCAGAGCTTCTGAACAAAAATAACCCAAGCCCCAACCCTAAATGTGGGCAATGAATTTATAAAATATTTTAACTTATTATCTTATACTAAATTTAAATTCATTTACAACTTTTTGTTTTCTTCTGAAAATCTTTTAGCGTTCGAAATTTATGGCTATGTAAAATTTAAAAATTATTATTAGATGAAATTAAAAACCTGTTGATGAATTTAAGTTAAGCCTAGGATATTAACTAAAAATATTTTAAAAATTCATTAACCTTAGATTTGGGATTTGGACTGCGAACCTTTGGGGTATTTTTGTTCCCAAGCTCCAATCATCACAATTTTTTGTTAAACATTTTTATTTGACATGAACATACTCAAATATAGAGTTTTCACAATACCTGAAAGTGTCATACCTGAAAGATCAAAAATCCCTACGTCCGTTCCTGAGCATATAATACCATATGTTTTAATGCCCATTGGTGTTATAAAATTTATTGAATTCATAGATCAACGAATTAAAGAAAGAATATTGTATTTATCATTCATCTTTAAATTATAGTTTATACATAAATACGATTCAGCATTAAGTTATCATATCAGTATATTTTATAAAAAAATAAGTTTTTAGCTCTAAAAATTATTACAGGTGATTTTTTGAATGCATTACATTTTTTGAATGCATTACATTTTTTTGTTACAATAGCTGAAATTTTGTGTGATAATTGCTTAAATTGTTTTATGTTAAATTTATGTCAATAGATTGTATAAACAACTTTTAGATTTTCAGATTTACTTTATATTATAAGTATTTTGTACTTTAAAAGAATGTCACAATATTTAAATAATATAAAAGTTTTATGTTAAATTATTCAAAATGCTTTTTAATCTTGTTTTTTATAAAAACAAGATTAAGAATTTTTAAGTAATTTAAATATAACCTTTATATTATTTAAAAATTGTATACAGTTAACTGTATACACTTGTACAGTTAATATATTTTAAAATGAGATCAAAGTTTATTCTCAGGCTGTGATTCAAGAAAAAATATCAAGCTGCTTCTTACAAAGACAAAATAGAATTAAATGAAAACATTTCACCAAATGCTGTGGGTTTACGTAAAAAAACAAACAATTGACGAGACTACAAATTTAATCTGTAGCCTCGACAGTTGTTTTATTATTATTATTATTACTATTATTATTATTATTATTATTATTATTATTATTATTATTATTATTATTATTATTATTATCATTATTATTGTTATTACTAATTATTATTTGAACAGGGTAGATACAACAGATTAAGTTTAAACCCCCATAAATTGAGGGGTTACAAATTTATATGGTCATATTTTTTGAACGATGAGAGATAATACTATAAAACTTAAAATTTATCGACGAATATAATTCTAGCTGAGTATGACCCAAAAAATATTTAACAACTTGTTGCCCTCACGTTTAATGTAGGAAGGGGGTGATGAAATTTCAGAGCTTTTTTGTTCCCAGCCTCCAATCATTGCAAAGCATCATTATATGACATAAGTATAAATATGCAAATGTTTGGAGTTTGTTATATGTCTGAAAGTTAGCTCAAGTACCAAAAAATGCTACAAATACAACAAAAATTGTTGGTATTGTAGAGTTAGGTTTAAATCTTAACTGAATGCAAAATAATAATTTAGAAAAAACAGCGATATGTATAGCAACTATTCGTACTCGGACTCACAAAAGACTTTACAAAACCCTTTTTAAAAGTTTCCCATTGTTTCATCATCTCAAGGTGTTGGAACTGGTTCTTTGAAAGTTGGGTCAGCGAGAGTAGATTTTAAGTAGGGAGAGGGTGCCATACGGATTATTGCCGAAAACATTTTTAACACATAATAACAAATCTAAATTGCTCGACAATATTGAATTTGCTTTTTTTTTTTTCTGTTATTTAGGTGCTCCAAGAAGACCTAACGTTCACAGAGTACCGCGGAAATGCATTTAAACAGAAAAATCACGCCTCCTTCCATACCATGACGCAAAAAATTTTCTTTAAAGTATCTCTAAGAAGTTTTTTTACTGACAGCCTAATAACTCATGTAAGTATTTATTTTAGACTTTCGTTGCACCTTTTGTCTATTTTATAGGAAAATGCACTTATCATTTAACATTTATTACTTAAATTTATATTTTAGCTTAAATTGGCTGTAACTTTAGTTTTATTTTGTCTGCCCTACATAGGAGTGAAGCGGACAGAGAAAAAAGTTGCTGTCCTACAAGAGATTTTTCAAAGTTTAATATATATTTTGCAAGCACATTCTAGCAAGATTGTGAGATGTGGACATTATGTCAAATAATGTTGCTTTGCAAAAAATTAAAATGATTGAAGACTGGGAACAAAAAAGCTTTGAAGTTCCATATTTTTGTCAACAAGTTGCTTTTGTACTACTGCTGTTAGAAAAGTTTCTGGGCTGATGCTAGTTGCTTTTTCAAATAAAGACTTTGAAGTTGCTTTAACTTAAAGTTAGAACAATTTTTATTCAACTTCTCGCGCAGTCGATGAGTTGTTATTTCTTTCTGAGCCTGATTACGTTAGAGATAATCAAAAACTAAACTTTTGCAATTTCTTTTTGGCATTTTTAAACTTGAAGTTCAACTGCTGCACATAAAATCAAAAGATGTAAATTAACACAAAAAACATAGAATATAACAATAAGGCTTACACTACCGTGTCAACGATAACTATATTAAAAAGTCATCAATAAAAGGTGTTCTTTATTTTATAAAATTTTAAAGTTATTTTTTAAATTAGCCAAAGAGTTTGATTCAGTTGATCACGAAAGATTATTGTTAAAATTGAATGCTCTTGGTTTTAAATCAAAACTATTTGACTGGTGCCAGGGATTTTTGAAGAACAGACTTCAAAGGGTGGTGATAAGAAATAATAAATCAGAATGGGAAGAGGTCGTGAGTCGAGTACCACAAGGATCAGTGCTAGGACCACTATTATTTGTAGTGTATATTAATGATATCTCCAACAAAATAAAAGCAAGCTGTAAACTATTTGCTGACGACATGAAAATCCTTAAATCAATAAAAAACGATAATGATGTTATTGAACTTAAATAAGATATAGACTTATTAATGGAATGGTTGAATGAGTGGTTGATGAAATTCAACCAGCAAAAATGTAAATTTATGATAATAGGAAATAGCCAGTACAAAGTTTTAATGAATAATACAGCTTTAGCCTACACAAGCATGGAAAAGGATTTAAGAGTGTACATTTCAGATGATTTGGAATGGAAACACCATGTAAATAAAGCAGTAAATAAAGCAAATCAAAAGCTAGGTCAGATCAAACACACTTTTAAATATTTAGACGAAAAAACAATGAAACTTTTGTTTATACCCTTAGTACGTCCACATTTGGAATACCCAGCTCCTATCTGGAATCCTTATTGTCAGTATGATAAAGATAAACTAGAGTGTGTCCAACAAAGAGCTTCTAGAATTAAAATTTTGAAAGGATACAGTTATAAAGAGAGGTTAAAGAAGTTGGATTTACTATCGTTGGAGAAAAGAAGAAGAAGGGGTGATTTGATACAAATGTTCAAATATTTGAAAGGGTACGATATTATAAATTTTTACACAAAACCCGGAATGCTAGATAACGGATATAAAACTAGAGGTCACAATAGTAAACTGAGAAGGCAATATACAGGAAATATAAAACGACAATTTTTTCACAAATAGAGTAGTAAACGACTGGAACAATCTTGAACAATAGACGCAGTCAGTATCAACCAGTTCAAAAAAAAAAATTGGATGAACATTTTAAATACTAACTTTTATTATGTTTGTATGTTAGTGTGTTACAGCTGTTAAAGTTGCAAACTAGTTTGGACTCATCACTCTTTAAGTGTACAGCACTATTATACTATATATTATATTATTATATTATTTTACTATAAGAATTTCAAACATTTATAACATTTAGCAAAAAGATTTTTTTTTAATCTAAAAGTTTTAGATTAAAAAAAAAAAAATCTTTTTGCTAAATGTTAAGTTTGTAATTCTAAAACTGCCCATTATTAATTTTAAACAAACAAAAAACATATAGCTGACTTTTTAACTTGCAGTTTATTGACAAATATTAGGCTATAGATGAAAATGATTACTAAAAAATTTATTGCTAACAAAAACCAAAGTACTCGTATTTTTCTAAAGTTAACAAATGTATGTTTCTTATACCGCCGCAATAGAAAATAAACTTTTTAAACCAATCAAATTTTAAGAAAGTATACCGTGATCAGCAAATCTTTTGATTATAAATCACAAAGAGGAATCCTTAGTTTCACAGAAATATCTAGTGTGCTTGATGACTTTTAAATCCAATATGCGCACAGCAGATTTACATCAAATTTTGAACATTATCAGATAAATAAGTTATCTAAAGGACCCTTGAATTTCAAGAAAGACCTGCCATAACTTATAAAGCTGTTGTTCGTAAAAAAAACAGTAAGGATTTACACTTTAAAATAAAGAAATTTTTTTATTTATGATATTAAAAACAAAATATATAAATATATAGCCTAACCTTTTTAATAAACGACTTCCAATTTTTATTTAAGTTGGTTTATAAATAGCGGCACAATGTGGTTTGGCGTAAATAGTATCTTCGTTAAGTTAAAAAAATAAGTCACAGTTTTTGAAATACTTTTTTTACGGCAAATTATGGATATTCGCGCATACCTAAAATGGGTGGTTATTTTACAATTATATTTACAGCTTTAGTAACTGACAAGCAAAATAATCATCTCCATTATCATCTCCATTATCAGAGTCTTATATATCACCTCCATTATCATCTCCATTATCAGAGTCGTGTACCATTTATAAATTTTAAGTATCAAATATGCTAATTATTTGTTTTAATAATAACAGTAATAATAATAACAATAATAATAAAGTAAATAGGTATACAAAATTCATTTTTATGCGTTTTTTTGGTATTCGGCCGAATATTTTGCAATATTCGGCCGTATACCGAATAGTAAAAAAGTAGCCGAATAGGCAGAATACGGAATAGTCACCGAATATTTGTGGCATCTTTTATTCGAACCCATATGCTTTTTTAGGATGCCATCAATTATACTGCTACAATAAAGAGTAACTACTATCTCTTTTATCTGTAGAAAAAAACTAAATGAGCGGGTTTTTATTTGCAAATGGCCAGAAAATAGTGAAATTACCCTTCTCTAAAAGGCATGTTATCCAATATCCGGTACCGCTAACTGCTATTATGCTAGCCCATAAACTATTGTTATTTTAAAAATATGGCTGTTGCTAGCACGCGGTCTAAAAAATTTTACATTATAGGAAAATTGTTAATGAAACCTAGTTGAAAAATCTGTTTTTACGATTTCCGTAAATTGTTATAAATTGTTATAAAAATATTTTGCTTGTTATTATATGTATTAAAATTTATTTGCTTTTATGCTTGTTGCATATAATTTATAATAAAAATGTATACTGCAAGCATCTGAAAAGTTATAAAGCACCTAAAATAACTTTTTTAAATGCTCTTTGAATCTCAAAATTAAAAGTTGTGGCTTGGCGCTTATGTTATGTTATATACAAACCATAAAATTCATTAAATTACCATATGCCATGATACATAATATGCCATTACCCATATTATATCAGTTAATAATTATATAAATAATAAATTTAAATTTATGCTTTTAGATAAGTGACTTAAGCTTGGCTGAACATTTGCATATAATAATACTTATTTTTTATAAAAAATTATTAGACAATATTCTTTTAATTTTATTTCATCGAGGTCATATGAGTTTCCTGAGCATCTTCATCAGGACTTTAAAAATTCCTGTTCAATGATAAGGGCTATTGAATAGGATATGAAAAATGTTTAAGAAGAAAGATTTGTTTGTAGCTTAAAAGTCAAAGTCTTCCAGATTTTTTAAAGGTATAAAAAATTTTTCTTGTCATTATTAGACCCAAACAAAATGTTGTGTGTTGCCAAAATTATTTGAGGAGTGGGTCTCAAATAGTTTTTATTGAGTGGAGTTTAACTTTTCCTTACATAATACAACCTTGATTACCTATGGATTAAGGATTTATCAAATCTCTTAAAATTAAAAATGTTTTTTTCTAAAAAGGCATAGAGTTTCATCAGATTAATTCATTGGAAAAGTTTCTGGGCACAGCACTATCAAAACTAAAAAGTAAAATGAAGTGCATGTTGATGTTTCTGATGATGTTACAAAACCAAGTTTTGAAAAAGCCATTTTTACTACAGTACAATCTCTGTAATTTGAATATTCTTAATTCAAAAACCTTCATTTGATTAAATGCTAAGTCACAGTGAAATGTCACTTTACAAATTCAATTTTCTTTAATTTCTCTAATTTGAACCTTTATTTTTCCCTATAAAGGTTGAATTTGAGAGATAGTACTGTATTACATAATAATTTAGAAAATGCTCTTATATAATTTGTGTTGCTAATGAACTTATGAGCATATAAAAAACAATTACTGACAGTTAATTACAGAAAATCTACAATTACAGTTTTTTTTTGCTATGTAAAACTTTAATACATGTATGTAAAATATGTATTCAAGGCCAATAGTCATTATTTGTCAGTTTTATTTATATTCTTTTTTTGTGAAATATTTGTACTTTATAATTTGAAGGTCTCTCTAATTTGAATTTGAAGGTCTCTCTAATTTGAATTTGAATTTTCCTACAAAATTTGAATTAAAGATTTTATATATATATATATATATATATATATATATATATATATATATATATATATATATATATATATATATATATATATATATATATATATATATATATATATATATATATATATAATATTGTGAAGTTATTGTTTATTAGTATTATTATAAAATATTCTTAGCAAAAATAAAATGTCTTGCAAGTTTTGTGAGGCAGATTCTAATGAAGAGCAAATACAGTGTGCAACTTGTAAAGGAATGTGTAAGCTGGTTAATTAAAGTTATAATGATATCTTTATTTGATCTTATTTATTTCCATTATCTTCTATCAGTACAACACACTAGTGTTGTACTGATAATTATTTTATACACAAAATCAAACTGTAAAGTAAAACAAAATACAACAAAAGCAACCTGTTTTAGTTGTTATAAATATAACAGTTTATTTACAATTTTTTTAGTCCAGTTGAATAATTTTTCATCAAAATTTATTATATGATATTGATGTATAGTTTAATATACTACAGTATAATTTAAGTTAATTGTGCAAAAGGACAAATCGGTATCAAGTTAAGTAGCAGATAAATGACACTATTTACTGCAAGATATAGTGAATGAAAACAATATATACTTATGAAAAGTATATAAAACTTTATATAAATATTTATGAAAAGTATATAAAACTGTAGAAAACTATTAAAGTAACTTATAATTATACGTTACTAACATACAATAGTGATCAAAAATTTAGACTCAATAAAACTTATAGTTTCTTAGTGATTTGTGATTTAAAAGAATGCCTTTGTTCTTATTATTTTTATTTTATTTTTAATACGGTTTATTATTTATGAAATTCTCTTTAATATATATAAAAGACAAGAAAATATATATAAAAAACAAGTTTAAAGTATTTTGTTTTGAAAATAACAAAAAATATGTTAAGATATCTATGAAAATCTTGATCATGAGATCATAGACTCAGGATTTTTTATTAAACTGTAAGTCAAGTTAATATGGTATGTGACCGCCTTTGTTATCTATGCAAAGTCTACATCTTCTTTTAATAGATTTAAAAAGATTTCAACAATATTCAAAGGATAAACTATCATATAACTCTTTTAAACTTTATCTTAGTTCTTCAGTTGAAGTTACAGAAGCTTTGGTCAGTTTTTGGTCTAGCACAGTCCATACATTTATGATTGGATTTTAATCTGGCGATCTAGCTGGCTACTAGAGTAGATTGATTTTGTTTTCTTTAAACCAAGCTGTTACTGTTTTTGCTTTATGACAAACGGCATTATCTTGCTGAAACTTCCATTCATGCTCATCTCCGAAAAATAGGTCTTTTGTCGGAATCATAAGATTTTTAAGCGTCTCAATATATCTGTATTGGTCCATTCTACAAGTAGCATAGTCCAGGTCTATCATAAGTGATACAACCCCAGATCCCAACTGAACCTCCTCCACCCTGTAACTGAGGTATGATGAAACGATTATAAAACTTTTCATTATAGTTTCTAAACTATTACTCTATTTTTTCTATTAACGAATTTTTTCTATCAATTTAATTCATCGCTAAATACTTTTTTTTTTAATACCATTTGAGCCGATCTGCATTTTTCTAAATATTTAAAATGCAAATAATAAGTAAAAATGGTATAATTTGATCAGCGTGCACTAAGTAAATAATTTAATTTTTAAATGGATTTAGAGGTAGTACTTTAGAGAATATGTTTTATTCCACGTTAGAATTACAATTTTTAAAAAAATAGGTTGGACACTTATATGGAAATAAAGATAGAAAAAAGTCTATATTTATAAGACACATTTTAATGTGTTTTTAAATGGTGCTATTATTAAAAAGTAAAAAGTAAAGACTTAGCTTAAGAGAAAAAAGGTGTGCGTTTTTTGTAATTATTATTAATTTTTTGTAAGTTAAATTAAAAAAAATTGTCTTCAAACATTATTTTAAAAATTTTTGGAAGAGATATTAAAAGCTAAGCTAAAGTTTTTTACTGAGTTTAAATTTTTGATCACCATTGTATAAGTTTTGATCACCATTGTATACTTAAAAATTAAACATATAAGTATACTGAAACTTAAGAACTGAAAACTATAGTCAAAAGTTTTAACTGAAAAAAAAAATTAATTTTAAATTTTAAGTTTTAACTTTTAACTATATTTATATGTTTTGAGGTTATTTATCAAATGTTAGGCTTTGAAAATAAAATAATTTTAAATGTTGCTCAAGACAAGTTTTCAAGTTTGACTTTTTTTTACTTTATTAAAAATTATTCGCAATTCAAAATCATTGATGAATGAAAAAAAAAGTTGAGGCAGTTTTATGTTTTTTTTTTGTTTTTTGTTTGTTTTTTTTTGAAAAAAAAAATTAAGGAATCTTTTAACTAAATTATTTAAATTGAATATTCCCAATAAGCTTATCTACAACTAGAATAAAATAATAGATTTATACAACATAAGTTTCAAACAATATATTACTGTCTTTTGCTTTATACAGAGCCCATCCCCTGTCATGTCACATTCATGATTCTATCACATCACGTATGTGAAGTCTGATAGAGCCATATTGTTCTCATCAGCAAAAACTTTAACAACATTGTTTTCACCATCTAATTACTATAAGAATCAATTTTATTTATATGCATGAATTATGCTAGACAAAGTTTTAATATAAACTACTTGACAATTTATATTAATATATGCTAAACAACTTAAGAAAATTTAGCTAAACAACAATTTTTATTAAATGAACAATAGTTTTAATAGAAAAATAAGTTGTCCTTATTTAAATTAACTGAACTACAATATATAGTTAGTTGCCTATTTTGCTATATACGATTTAAGCAGGCTTTCCCAGGAAAAGCGTGCGGTCGCACGCCTTGTTTGTCCACGCATAGAATAAATTTTTCTGACTAACTGACCATGTTTTATTGTTATGCGTTTCAAGAATTTGCGCCAAAACAAAGCTAAACTAAAATACCGCAAAAATGCAAGCAATCTTAAAGTAAATAAAAGAAATCTGTTTGTGCTTTCAAATTTAAAAATTAATGTATATTATTAAAAAAAAAATTTACCTATATTTTATTCTTTTTTTTTTGTTTTTTAGGGCGGTTGTTATTTTAGCTATAAAAAATCAAATCAATAAAAAAAATAAAATCAATAAGAAAAATCAAATCAAAAAGAAAAAGATATTGTTTAATGAAAATAAAAGGACCTTTTAATGTAAAATTTGTTTATGACTTTTATCAGTCAGTAATACTTTAAAATTCACGATAGAACTTTAATTAATTTTTATATGTTTCGTAAATACATTTAAATGTTTAAATGTATTGATACGCAAGAAAGTGCGAAAACGATTGCTATTTATTTGTAAAATAAGTTTTGTTTCAATTTTCAAATGAAAGAAAATTTATTTTGCAATCATTAAATGACATTGTGAACGAGTGTTAATATACAATAATGTCCCGAAGGAACTGTTTTCGTAACAATGACAACAGAAGCAATGCAATTATTTTTTTAACTTCTTTTGTAATAACAAAATTATGCAATTGAATAATTTCAATGTAATAAAAGGCGAGCATTGACTCAGTATAATCAGTTTAGAATAAGTCGAGAGAAAACTTTTTTCACATTAAAATTTTGTTATCTTTAAAATCTCAAATAATATATTTAATAATTAAAACAGCAATTTATTTTCTTGTCTAAGTATTGGGGAATAACGTCATCGCCTTTGCATAAACCTTCGTAAAAACTGAATTAAATGAAAAAATTTAATCAAATTTGTCTAGCGTAAATAATGAATCAGTTTTTTAATATATTATTTGATAAAGTTAGTGAATAAATTACGTATCAAGTCTTTTTATTTTCGTGAAAACTTTATGATTTATTGTCGCCTTTTCCTTGACTTGTATCAAATTTTGTAGCTGAAAATAGCAACCCTAAAAAAAGAAAACAAAAACAGTAAAAAAATTTTGAAAAAAATGTTCAGGACTTTTTTTTTTTTTTGTTACAAGATTTTTAGTTTTTTTTTTATTATTAAAATATTTTTCTTACATCCAATTTCAATTTTATACTTTGTTTAGACTTCGTTTTCTTTTTTAATATTATATTTTATTCTCTGTGGATAAGTTCCGCTTTCCCACGAAATATTGCCGCGGTCACGTTTTCTGAAAAATTTATTATATGCGTGGACAAACAAGGCGTGCAACCGCACGCCTTTCCTGGGAAAGCCTGATTTAAGTAGCTTTTGTTTTTTTTATGAGTAATAATAAAATGCTAATTTTTTTTTAAAAGGTCATCCATCATGTTTGGAATTGCCGAAACATATAATACCTGTCGTTAGAACTTATGACTGGCAATGTAATGACTGTAAATATTGTTATGGCTGCCATGATATAGAAAATGAAGTAAGAGTTTATTTTATGCATAAAATATTGACATAAATGTCCTTACATTTTTATGCATAGTTTATAATGTTCACAAAATAGTTTTGTATTGTGTGTATATACATACCACAAGGTTAGCAATATTTTGCCGACCTTCATCTGTTAAAGGTCTGCATCTGGTTGGTAAAATAAATTTGACACAAAGGTTTTACCATAAAGCATAAAAACTAGGTCGACAATGTTTTGCTGACCTCAAACACTTCTAGGTGTGCGTTACCAAATGCCAACCTAGAAGTATAAATCAAACATATATCAAACCTCAGGAGACACGTGGAGTTATACGTCTTATATGACCATTTAAATATTTTGTTTTGACAACTTGACCATGACTCCTTGCATGCTTTAACTTAACGCATTTAAAAATTTAGTCTTTTGAAAAAGTCAAAATTTCAAATTTAATCCAAGATTACTTCAAAACTTAATTTAAAATTTTGAAACTTTGATATTTCTAATGTCAAGCAACTTTAAAAACTTAATTAAGCAAATAAAACAAAAGTATCCGTTAGTAGGATTTAAAACATGCAAATTTTTAATTGTCATGCAAAAAACTGTTTTAAAACATGCAAATTGTCGTGCTAAAAGCCATGGCCAAGTTGTCAAATTAGTTTAAAAAATTGTATGAGTGGTCATATAAGCACGTATACATGTATTTATGTATATACAGTTATGGCCATAAATATGAGAACGATGATAAATTTTCTAGTGTTTCATGATTCTTCATCATGTAAAGACAATTAGATAATAATTACAGTTGTTAAATAATAATTTTTAGATAATAGTTGTTAGATAATATTTACAGTTGTTTTCAAAACTTATAACGTACTTTCAAACCTTATAACGCAGAGTCATGTTTTCTGATAAATCAACATTTTCCCAGTTTACCTCTTACACTAGGCATGTTAGAAGACCAGTCAATCAGCGCTACAAAATCAGATATGTAGTCCCTACTGTAAAACAGGCTCTAACTACGATGGTTTGGGGCTGCTTTAGTGGAGCAGACCGGGGCGGTATCTGCTTTATGCCGAAGAGCACCTTAATATCCTTAAAGAAAAGCTACCTCAGCATATGGCTAGTAGCAACTGCACCACTTTCCAGCATGGTAAAGCTCCCTGCCACCGCGCTGGAGCAGTTAGCCAGTGGCTAATGGGTCAACACTTTGATGTTTCAGGAACTTGGCCTGGCTCCAGCCCGGACCTTAATCCAATAGAAAATTTATGGATGATGATGAAGCGGATAGTTGCTACGAAGAATCCTAGTTCCGAAAACACCCTTAAGAAAGCGATCATGACTGTTTGGACTCAAGAAATAACACTGGATTATTGCCAAAAGTTAGTTGATTCAATGTCTGAGAGGATAAGGGCTATGATACCCAAATATTGACTTTTGAGGCAATCACGCCATTAAGATGCTTTTTTACTAATGATTTAATCATATTTTATAATTAAAGCACAAAATAATTGTTATTGTTGTTAACTGCTTGTTATATTCACCTGAATAAAAGCCATACTATAAAAAAAGGCAGCATTCTCATATTTACGGCCATGACTGTATATATATATATATATATATATATATATATATATATATATATATATATATATATATATATATATATATATATATATATATATATATACAGGCCTTGTTTTAAAGTGTTACGCCTAGAGCGATTTACGTACGCCTTAAGCGATTTTTACGTGCGCGTAGAGCTGTTTTGGTTAAGCTACTTTTTATCATTTTTTAACTTTTAAATTAGCGGTAACATAAAAGAAGTAATTAATTTTTAAAAAAACCACATTAACTTTTAAATAACGATATGTAAAGATATTTATTAAAAAAAAGAATTAATTTTAAAAATAATTGTTGTAACTTTTCATCGCGATATATCTTTCCTTTTTATAGCAATTAATTTGACGCTAAACTTTTTATCCAAATATTTAGCAACATGAAAAATTGTTTGTCAATCTTTAACTACAAATTTTTTGCAATTTTTTAAATAAAAAGTAGTAATTTTTTAAAATTTTCAGTAAAAAACTTTTAAAAAATCTATATTCCATATTTATTAATACAGAATATAAATGTTTTTTGTAATATAGATTTTTTAAGAATTTTTTACTGAATTTATAATAAAAAACATTTGCAAAAAAATTGTAATTAAGAATTGACATTTTTTGAATATCTCAAAAAATGTCATAATATTTTTGTTTTCATGATAACAAAAATACCAAGACATTTTTTCGAGATATTAAAAAAAATGTCTTAGCTTTTCTTATTAGTTAAAGGTATATAGATACCTTTACCTTTAAGTTATGCGCGGGGAGGGGGTCGGCACAGAAAAAAAAAAATTACCTGTTACTCGCAATATTTGAATGAAGACAATTTGTTAAATTTCTTCTGCGTGCGATTCAATAAGTTTTTTTTTTTTCATAAATCAAGTTATATTATAAGGTAAAGAAATCATGAGTAGACTACAACATCCGCTGATGACACTAATATTATGTTAAATATATTTATATAACGGAGGTTTTATTATGCACGCGCACATTACAGGTTCCGTTAAATAAATACTAAGGCATGTTTTAGTTTAATGACAGTCTCCATTTTTTACTAATGAATATGTATTTTTCTTTATAAAACAAAACAAACTAGTATATAAAAACCTTGTATATTTCTATTATCTCTAAATTGTTTAAAGTTCGAATATTGATTGTATTTTGAAGGACAAAAGATTTACTTTAAAAACTTTTAAATCTTGGGACTTTGCGGATGCTTTGTCGATGCGATGATCACAGAAAAGGAGAAGACTTACGTTATTAAAATCAAATGTAAGTTATGTGATCTTCATCAAAATAAAATATTATCCAAAAACAATGGTGTTGTAAGGGCAACTGCCCAACGGTTTATAAATAACACAAGTCATGTTAAAATATTTTAACATGTTACTATATTTTAATTAAGTTGATATATAATTAAAAATAAAAATATAGTTCAATAAATAAATTAAATTTGTTCTTAACAAAGATTACCTCATTTTTATTCTTTTTTTTATTTTATTTAGTTAAATCGCTTACAAACGAAAAAAAAAAGAGTTTTGTAATTATACGTAGAATGAAAATACTTTTGAGTTTGTTTATAAGTTAAGGAACTTAATTTTTAATAAACAAATTTTTACGAATGTTTAATTATAAACAGATACGATTCAAATTATTAAATATACTTAAATTATTTCAGTTGAGTATTTTTTTAAGTTTGCACAATTAAAGTTTTGCATAGAAGTATTTGTTTTTTTGTTTTAAAATAATTAACAAAAGAGTTTGCATAATTAAGACTTTTATATTTAATTTAATTTTTTTTTTTAATTTCCTAAAATTTAAAAAAAAAAGATTTAATCGTTAAAAGCGATTTTTCTCTATAGCTGTTTCTTTGTGATTTGTTTAAAAGTAAAATATTTTTACAATAACATAAAAAATTTATGAATTAAATTCCTGGCGAACGCGTTCTAAACTATGTATCAAAAATATGCTCAAAGCAGACAAAACTTTTTTATATTTTTATAAAACGCAAGTTGAAACGCTAAGCAAGATAAATTTAAAAAATATTTAAAAACCTTAATTTTTCTTTGCCAGTCAAAATAAAATCGTTGTTTAAATAATTAACATGGGTTTGTGTTTATCAATGTTAATATTTTTTGTTTACTCTAGAAATTTTTAAAAATAAAAAAAATCATTATTATTTTTTATTCAATAACAATTAAAAACAATTATTCAAAAACAAGTTTCAGAAATAATTAATATATATATATATATATATATATATATATATATATATATATATATATATATATATATATATATATATATATATATATATATATATATATATATATATATATATATATATATATATATATATATATATATATATATATATATATATATATATATATTACTAAGTAATATTGAACTAAAATTAATAATAAAATAACAATTGAAAACATTACAAAATTTTCATAATAAATTTACATTTAAAACATTTATAGTTATTTGAGTTTATTGTTAAATTGAACTAGTTTGCGGTTATTTATTTATTGCGGTAGTTAAAACACTTAACGTCTATAAAAAAAAATAAAGATAATTTTATGACGTCAAAATCGCGTTAAGCTAATGCATTAAGCACTTTTTTATTTAAAACAAGGCCTGTATATATATATTTACAACCCTCGGAATTAGGCAAAACAAGTCAATAATTTTTTGCCGACCTCAAACACTTTTAGATCGGCAATTAGGATGCCGAATGCCGACCCTAATTCCGAGGGTTATATATATATATGTATATATATATATATATATATATATATATATATATATATATATATATATATATATATATATATATATATATATATATATATATATATATATATATATATATATATATATATATATATATATATATATATATCAGTCTTGGTGTATGGCATGACCACGCAAATAATATTTTGTTTTGACAATATGACCTCAGCTTTTAACATTTTAAAAATGTGCTGAATATTAAAGTGATATATTATGATATAGAATTTTTTCAGACATAAATTACATTAAAACTTTTATCTTAACCCATTAAAGCCCAATTTATTAATTTTCAAATTTTTTATGTAAAAGTCAAGAAAATAGTCCATAAGACATTAAAATTTATAAAAATACAATTAAAAAGGTTTTGTAAAATTTAGTTTGGTAAATAATGGCTGTCCTCATTTGAGGTCACTGGTCATTTATGCATATAAAAATTCTGATTAAAAGTTTCAATTTTGTTTTTTATTTAGTCTTTATTTCAACATTTCTTTTCAAATAATTGTTATAGTATTTGGAAAAACAGGGTACACACAATGTTACATAAGAGTAATTCCATGTCAATTGAGCCAGTAAATTTCAAAAATGGCACCATACATCTCAGATTTTGCT